TCTCATCTCCGGCTTCTCGGACTGTAGCTACTTCATCGTGAAGTCCACCGTCAAAGAGATCGTCGTCGTTCGCTCAGATCCAAGCGGACCTTTGCTTCAACGACTCTCCAGCGTTGTCGTCTGTTCCCTACTGGTCTTCATTGTTTTTTCTAGAGAGAGAAACACAGATTTGCAGGTAGCCAACAGAGAGAGAAAGAGATCAACGGTGGATTTCTTGTCGGTACTATTATATATATAATACAGGATCTGAGACTTGCATGCATAATCCGGAGGATTTCTCTACCTTTAACTGAGTAAAATTGGTGAAGTCATATATATATATGTATTGATACTGTTTGTTTGTTTGGTACACTCAGTGAAATTTCAATAAAACAAACTTAGAGAAATTTGTTTAATTTTCTCTAACTTTAAGTGAGTAAAATTGGTGAAGTCATATGTATGTATTGATACTGTTTGTTTGTTTAGTACACTCAGTGAAATTCACTGAGACAACTCAGTGAAATTTTAATAAAACAAACTCAGAGAAATTTGTTTAATTTTCTCTGCCTTTAAATGAGTAAAATTGGTAAAGTCATATGTATGTATTGATACTGCTTGTTTGTTTGGTACATGTGACAACCCTCACCTCTGATTAGCGTTAAATTGTGATTAAGCATGATAAGTAATTGATTAAGATGAAATCCTGAATTGATTGCATGAGTGTATTGTTTTAAATGCATTTCTATCTGTTTGTTACTGAATGATCTGTTTGTGTTTTAATTTCGAATTACGAATTGAAAGCCTTATCGGCGACCGATTCAGAAATTGATTGGTGTTTTATGCTAATTAGGAATTGTAGGATTTTATGGTAGGTTTAATTAAAATTCAATTTTGAATGATTAAGTTACAATAAACAATGTTAAACTAATTGAATATAGGATATTTATACTTTTGCCACTAAGTGGATTAATTCAAGGCCTTTTCTTCTCACACTCTACACTTGTTTGGCATCATTCTTCATCTCATTTTCTAGACCAAACCGTGAATAAGAGAGAGAGTGGGAGAAAGTTGAATTCATCTAGAAATTTTTCTTGAATTTAGAGGAATTGAAGAGGACTTGCAAAATTAGGCTACCATACTTGGAATCCAAGACTTAAGGTAAGAAATTCATCCCCTTAACCATGAATTGAAGTTGTTACATGCATTGTTCATGAAGGTTTCATTGAAATTATGTTCAATTGGTGAATAGAGTCAAGAATTAGCTTAAGGTGTTGATTTGAGAGTGAATTCATGCATGCATGTCCATATTATAGAGTTTGAAGTTATTTTTCATGAAATTCCTACATGCATGTTCATATCTTAGTTGTGGTCCAAGAATTCACCATGTTTTAGAGTTCAATCTTGCATTTGATCATGTTTTGGAGCATGAGAGTCCATGGGAACTCATGCATGTTATGTTCTTACATTGTTCATGAAAGTTTTAATTGAAATTGTGTTCAACTGTCACACATTTGGGCTTGATTTTATAAAATGATCTTTGAAACATGTTGTATTATGGGTTTCTAAGTGTTTTCCAGAAAATTGGCCTAAAAGGTTGAGTTTTGATATGTTTGATTCTTGGTTTGAGCTTTGGAAGCAAATTTGGAAAACCCAGATTTTGGCTTCCACGCTCGAGCGACCACCTTTGTGTTCAGAGCTCCACTCGAGCGATGGAATGGTGGCTCGAGCATAGATTGCAAGCTCTCAAGTTTTTGCGTGTGCAGACGCACGCTTGAGCAACAAGACCCACGCTCGAGTGAGGAATTGTGTCTCACGCTCGAGCGAGCATCGAGCGGAGAATTTCAGCAACCAGTACTTTTTGCATTTTTACAGACCACTCGAACGAGGGAGTCTACGCTCGAGCGACCCCTCTGTTTTGGTAAGCTCGCTCAAGCGGAGAAAGCCACGCTCGAGCGAGACCCCTGTTTTCAGCAAATTTTGAAAAGTGTTTTAAAGTACATTTTTGCATCCTCATTCCATCCTAGGCATTCCTAGGCCATGTTTAAGGCATCTTAATGAGGATAATATTATAAAACCACACCAAGCCATATAGGGGCTAAGTTATTAATCCCAAGTGTATAACTTAGTGTGTGTTCATTCTGCAACTGTGTAGGGTTGGCACCCGAAGACGCTGACTAGCCTGTCTATAGTCCAGTGATTTGTGAGTAACAATGTTGTAAAGATACGTTCAACTATAATTATTTCTGAACGATTTAATGTACTGCTTTCTGAAATGACATTGTTTACTGAATGAATGTTTGTCCTATTTGTAAACTGTGCTCGTGGCATCCCAAGCAACTTACTGTTACTGTACTGTTACAGAGATCTCTGTCAGTTCCAATGTTTGGAATTACTACTGTTTACTGTTTTGATGGCCATCAACTGACTGTTCGGTCTATTAAGACCTATTGTACTGTTCTGCTATTGGATGTACCACTTATGACTGTTATGATTTCTAATTGACTGATATGGCACGAAATATGAGCCACTGATTGAATAACTGATCTACTGATGCAAATGATTGTTTTAATTACTGAAAGGACATTCATTTTTAACCCCTTTACACATTTGCTATTTACTGGGCTTTAGCTCACTGTTTATATATGTATGTAGGTGGCCAAGTACCGAACCGAAGCTAAGAGCGTCAAGTTAAGCTCTCATTTTTTCAAGCCAACCATTGTGCCTCACTCCGAGGTCCAAGTCTGTTCAAGTCAAGGCTATTTTTGGGGTGTCTCAGATTCACCTTTTTGTCTTTGTTTTGTAACGAATGTCTAAGATTTTTGACTGTACAGTTATGGTGAAGGGATTGGATCCCTAACCTGTATGTTACGCGTATCTGATATGTATATATATGTTTATGGTTATGATGTGGACTAGTCTAGAAAAGTCTTTTTCCACTTAGATTTTCACTGCTCATTAGACATCTTCTATTTACTGTTTGGCTTCCGCCAGCCCCTTATTCTGTACTATTGTTATTACTGTCAAGCAGGCCTTTGGTAATCACGGATTACTGGTTGGTTACGATGCTAAACCCATAGAGCGGGTTTGGGTCGTGACAATACACTCAGTGAAATTCACTGAGACAACTCAGTGAAATTTCAATAAAACAAGCTCAGAGAAATTTGTTTAATTTTCGCTGCCTTTAACTAAGTAAAATTTGTGAAGTCATATGTATGTATTTATATTGTTTGTTTGTTTTGTTTTGTTTGTTTGGTACACTCAGTGAAATGTCAATAAAACAAACTCAGAGAAATTTGTTTAATTTTTTCTGTCTTGTTTAATTTTCTATGTGATATTCAATTTTCTCTAAATTTCTCTAGTTTGTACTAAGAGAAATTTCAATTTTCTCTGGTTTGAACCTAGAGAAATTCTTTGGAAAGTCCTCTCTGGAGAGAATTTCTCTGGAAAGAATTTCTCTGAAGAGAATTTCTCTGAATTGATATTGAGGGACCTTAGACATTATGAAAATATTGAATGTCCTTTATGCTATAAAATCTTAAAACCAGGGACTCTAAAAAAGAAACCCCAAAGATAATCTATAAAATTCAATATTTTAATTGTAATTTATTTAAAATTTGAATATTCTGTGTAAATAGCTTATGCTGGGCATACTTTAGAAAGAGCTTGTTCGGCATGTGTTAAAATAGCACATACTGTTTTAGCATATTATCTTATTTGAGTCACATCATTTCTCTACCATATTACTTTAACCCTATTTACACCACATTTTATTTTTCTGTCAATTGTGACCTATTAATTATGGTCAAGTTCGATTATGGTCTATCGATTGAAATTATAAATTATTTTTAACAAATAAATTTGACCACATTTGTTTTTATTTTTGTTATTATTATTATTTATGTCGATAAGCATGCTAATATGGCATGACAAATGTGTTAAGGATGTAACATGATGACATGTTAAATGGATGGCTAGAAAGTTAGCCATTGCAGTAATTTGAAAGTTAGTTGCTGAGATCAATGAGCCAAGATCAAATCAAGTATCAAATATGCAAAATGGTTCCTATTAAACATAGTGAGATACGAATAATGTTGAGAAAATCATGGACTTGTTGAGAAAATCGTGGGTTTAGGTTATCTGTTTCTCTCATGTGATTAAGCTTATAAATAGGCCAAGAAAGATACAAAGAACGACATCATTCACAACCACTCACAATTCGTGATATTTATCTATGAGTAGTTTAATTTAGCAATCGTTAGGAGTAGATTAAGTGATAGTTTTCCAACCTCATTTCTTTCCTTCTGTCGATTGTTGTGTTTATTCTTTTTCTTTTTCTTTTTACCCTCTTGTTGGAGTTCTTGTAACCGGTAGTAAGTGGCAATTTAATTGAATAAATACATATTTTTTCTGTTCAAATTCTTCTTTACTTGATAAACTCCAGGGAAGTCCTTAATCTGTTTAAGACATAAAACTCAACTATAAAACCTGATTTTTATTTGTATTTCTTTATAATTTATTTAAGTCTGTCAATGAATCATTGTTAATTGGGCTTAAACCAAATTTTTATCAACAAACACCAACTCACATTTCACATTTTTTTTATATATAAAAAGTCAAAAAATATATTAATCTAACACCTCTCAAACAATCTCGAATCAAGTTAGTTTGGAATACATAATTTTGGTTGGTTCAAATGGAAAGTAAGTTTGGAATCCTTAATTATGGTTAGTTCAAATGGAAGGGTTGGGGATGGAAATTATGCAGAACGAAAACGGTTTGGATCAGATATTTGGGTTACGAGCCTTGTTTGGAAAACTTCTCATCGTCAATTGAGAAGTTATTAGATATATTATCCACCATCCAAATTCTAAGGTTCTACAATGATAACCTAAAAGGGAAAAACATAGAAAAATTCTGGAGAGATTTTTTAGGTGAACTCCCACAATAATAATAATAATACATAGTATGTTTTATATATTAAATATATAAAGATTCTCTGATAGAGGTGGGGTTATAATTTCTTACAAAAACTCAAACACCTAAAAGATAATCTCTTAATTATCTTATACGTGAATTATCAATAATCTATGTCGACGCTTCATAAATTATGAGTCGGGTCAAATCCGACCCCATTTCCAACATGGAGCAAGGAGGAGATGAATTTCACTGTCAAGAAATGTTATGGTAAAGTAAAGCGAAGCCATCACTAGGAGGGGTCTCAACTGTGAACTCCGCTGCCCGGGTAGGGTCGAACAGGCCGTGAGGTGACACGGAGGTGGGATGCTTATGGAGCTTGTTTTCTGAACTTGGAGATGTGGATTAGACAAGGAAACATTTATTTTTAGAGACAAGAGAGAAGAGAGAAGAGGCCAGAGGAGATAAAACATATTTTAGGTCCCAAAACAAAACTCTGCTGCCATGCTTCTATCATCAGTCACACCATGCCTTCCTTCGCATACTCTCTTCTCTCTCAACAACAACAACAACAACAACAACAACTACTTAAACCATCACAATCGTCTTCTTGACTACTTGACCCAATGCACCTCCTTCTCTCACCTCAAACAAATCCACGCCCAAACCCTCCGCACCACCCACCACTCTCACACCCTCTTTCTCTTCAGTCGAATCCTTCTCTCCTCAACCTCCTACGATCTCCACTACGCTTTTCGACTCTTCCACCAAATTCACAACCGCAATTCCTTCATCTGGAACACCCTCATCAGAGCTTGTGCTCATAGCAATGCCTTCAAACAACAAGCCATCCTTACTTACCTTGATATGTTGAATGATGGTAGTGTTGTGCCTGACAAACACACCTTTCCTTTTGTTCTCAAGGCTTGTGCTTACCTCTTTGCCTTATCCCAAGGGAAACAAATTCAGGCCCAACTTTTCAAACTTGGGTTTCATTCAGATGTTTATGTAAACAACAGTTTGATTCACTTCTATGGGACTTGTGGGTGTTTGGATAGTGCTCGCCATGTGTTTGATAAAATGCCTGAAAGAAGTGTGGTTTCGTGGAATGTGATGATTGAAGCACTTGTCCAGTTAGGTGAGTTTGAGAATGCATTGAAATTATTTGTTGAAATGCAGAGCTTGTTTGAACCAGATGGGTATTCGCTGCAGAGTGTTGTAAATGCGTGTGCTGGTTTGGGTGCTTTGTCTTTGGGGTTGTGGGTTCATGCTTATGTTTTGAGAAAGTGTGACAGTGATATATCTGATGATGTTTTGATGAACTCTTCGTTAGTCGACATGTATTGCAAATGTGGGTCGTTAGATATTGCTAAGCAGGTTTTTGAGAGGATGCAGAAACGCGATGTAACTTCATGGAATTCGATGATTTTAGGACTCGCAATGCACGGGCAAGCTGAGGCAGCATTAGAATATTTTACCCGAATGGTTGATGAAGATCTCATGCCCAATTCTGTCACGTTTGTTGGTGTTTTAAGTGCGTGTAACCATAGAGGCATGGTTGCCGAAGGTCGTAAGTATTTCAATGCAATGATAAGGGATTACATGATTGAACCTGTGTTAGAGCACTATGGTTGCTTGGTTGATCTCCTTGCTCGTGCTGGCTTTATTGACGAAGCATTAGACCTTGTTTCAAACATGCCCATTAAACCTGATGTGGTCATATGGCGGAGTCTTCTTGATGCTTGTTGCAAGAAAAATGCAGGCGTTCAGCTTAGTGAAGAAGTTGCCAAACAATTAATTGAGTCGGAGGGGGGTGTTTGTAGTGGCGTTTATGTGCTCTTGTCTAGGGTCTACGGATATGCTAGTAAGTGGAATGAGGTTGGTCTGGTCAGAAAATTGATGACCGATAAGGGTGTAACAAAAGAGCCTGGATGTAGTTCAATAGAGATAGACGGTGTTGCTTATGAATTCTTTGCTGGAGACACATCTCATCCTCAAACAAAAGAAATATACCAGTTTTTGGATGAGATTGAGGAAAAAATTGAATCCACAGGTTGTTATATACCTGACTTTTCACAAGCAACTCTGGTTGATGAGCTTGATCGTGGAAAAAAGAATTCATTGAGGCTGCACAGTGAGAGACTTGCCATAGCTTTTGGGCTTTTAAACACAAGGCCAGGGGTGCCTATCCGTGTATTTAAAAACCTTCGGGTCTGCAATGACTGTCACAATGTGACCAAATTAATCTCGAGTATCTATGATGTGGAGATTATTGTTAGAGATCGTGCTCGATTCCATCACTTCAAAGATGGATCATGCTCGTGCATGGATTACTGGTAACAGTTTTTTGCTTTTTGTTTATTCAAGCATAACTTTATCAATTTCATCCAATGCCACTGTAGAAATGAAAACTGTTTTCATGGTAAAATTTGTAAACAGAATTTTTTCAAATGAAGGTATTTTACATGTATGTTCCAAGTTTGATACAAATGCCTTAGTTTGCTTTTACATATAAGTTTTTGCTTCTTGCTTTATAATGTCTGTTTATTCAATTATAAGCTGCAAGTCTTTTTGTTTGGTTTCACTTCATAAGCTCTCTGTTTTAGCAGTGAAAAAAGTCAATATTTGCTTTTTGGTGCCAATTATTATTCAAAAGCTCTTTGATGTTGGATTGGATGAATTTCTCTACCTTTTAAGAACTATTAGCCATAAACAAGTCCTCCATATAAATCCGCCCCTTCCTCTCTTACTTTGAACTAATATGTCCATGTAGAAGCTAGTTTTTTTTTTTTTTCCCTTCCGTTCTTATCTACGCTGGAAATTTGTTTGGTTTGGAGTTTTGCAAAAATAGTTTTTAATCTATATTTTTTTGGTTTTAGTGAACTATTTTAATGTTTTAATAATTTTTTTTTTTTAGATGGATTTAATCATAGTGTACTTAATAAGTAAAATATGTGAATATATTTTTAGAAATTTCAATAAGTTCAAAAAAATGTGAAAATATATTAAATTTTTGTAATTTTTAGTATTTAGTGAATTTTATAACTTTTTTTTTTTCCTTTACAAATTTTGCACCTTTTAAGTGTATCTAAATTAAGTAGATCTAAAAAGAAAAAAAAAAATTTGATTAAATTATTAATAAATTTAACTTTATAAATATATATAATTGAAAACTCAAAAACTATTTTTGGAAGTGTCAAAACAAATAGATCTAACTAGTTATTCACTTGCTAGAATGTTTTCCTGCTAATGTGAGAGAGGGCATAAAAATTTGTGGGCAATTTTGTTGTAAATTAGGCCTATTTTGAGAATTAATTTTTTAGAGCAACTCCAATCATACTCTTCATTTTTTATTAGCCAAAATATTTATAAAAAAAAAAAAAAAAAGATTTAATTTCTTTTTTATCTATATATTCCAACACTACTCTTTATTTTATCTATTGATATATACACAAACTATTTAAAGAGCCTCTTTAAACTCTTCAAATGTAGTTAGTATTAAAGAATTTTGTTAAAATAGCTATTGTAATAGCTAAAATATTTGAGTGACTAAAATATGATAATAATAGCTAACAAGCCTCATTTAAAGAGTCATTAGGAGATGACTTTTTAATTTTTGATAAAAAAATCATTTACGAAAGTAAGAGTTTTACATCTAACTACTTTTTAATTTTTTGTATTATTCTTTTACTTTTTGACTAAAAATTCGAGTTTTCAAAATACGCCGTAGCATCATTTTGTGAGTGTTTGGAAAGTTATAGATTATTTTAGTTTTTGGCTATTTTAAGAGGTTAAAATTTGTATTTAGAAAGATAGTTATATTTTTTTGTACTTAAATGTGATATTTGTGAGAAAAAAAGTGTAATGCTTATGAGTTTAATGTGACATTTTGTCTTATTGACTATTTTAGTTTATTTTGTCTTTTTATAAATTTTAATCAAAAAAGTCTTGCCAAACACTTGTAGTTAGGAATATTTAATGCTATATATCGTTGTCAAACTCCTTGGTATTTAGTGAGCATGCACATAGGTTCCACACGATATACCAATGTTGAATAATATGTTGATTCACTTGTCTCCTTCATAAGTCCCGGTTTAACTCGCCCTATCTGTTTTCAAATTGTGGTGTTTTAAAGGGCATCCAAGTTTTGTGGATGAGTGAGAATCTACTCAAAGTGACTTCGAACATCGATTCCCACCTTAAGGGCATCCATGTTTTGTGGATGAGTGAAAATCTACGCAAAGTGACTTTGAATCACTTGCGTGTGCATTACTGCTATCCAAAACCAAATCAATACAAGTATGGGTTTGTCCATTTGTGTATTAATTATTTTTTTTTCAAAAAAATATACGCAAGTGGTTATGGTTACATTAAAAGGTTGTGACCATTTATACCTTCATCATTCATTCATTCATTTATTTATTTTAATAATTGGGTATCTAGGTCAGTTCATGCGTAACTCGACTAATTTTAAAATTAACGACCAGTTGATAACCAGATATGTGGACCAATTGTATTCGCTTTTTAAAAAAAAATGTTTGACAAACTATTGTTGGTTTAAAAAAAAAAAAATTTAATCAAAACTCCTTCATTGGACCCTTGTTTGATGAAAAGGGCAACCAATTTTTTTTTTTTTTTATATATAAACCCCTTAAGAAGGAAACACATAATAGAGTAAGAACAAAGTAAAATATCTTCTTCTTTTTTTCTTTCTTGTACAATATTGTCAAAGTAACATGTTACTGTGAACCAGAATAATATATTACTGTCAAACAGAGTAACATTTTACTGTCAAATAGAGTAATTGTCAAACAGAGTAACATGTTACTATTATTGTTTACATCAATTTCAACGGTAACTTTTTTTTTTAAAAAAAGAATTTCATGGTCAACATAGATCTTATTTGATAGATCTTGATAAGAGAATTCTAAAAATATTAATTTTATCAAAAATCGACAGCTACATCAAAAGTTATATTATTTTAAAGTTTAATATTTTGATAATAGTGATATTTGTTGGACTTTTCAAGAAAAACTTTTTTTATATTTATCCTTGTTTCATTAAAATTTTATTATGAGGGGGTTTTGTCCTTGATGCATTAAAATTTTATTATGATAGGATTTTGACCAAATATCCCCTCAAGAAATAACCCACTTTCAAGAAAACAATTGTTTTGAAATTTTGCAACAACAATTATTTTTCGCACAAGGACAAATAAAATTTTATATTTGTCCTCATAAAATTTTATTATGAAGGGGATTTTTTTATATTTGTCCTTGTTTTATTAAAATTTTATTATGAGGGAGTTTTGTCCTTGATGCATTAAAATTTTATTATGATGGGCTTTTGACCAAATATCCCCTCAAAAAATAACCCACTTTCAAGAAAACAATTGTTTTGAAATTTTGCAACAACAATTATTTTTCACACAAACACGAAAACCATGATTGTTTTCAAACTTTTCATTGTTTTTGTTTTCGAAAACATGCAAAACAAAAGCAAAAAAGTGAAAACGAAAAATTTAACAATATCAACTAGATACAGCCATTGAACCAAAATCATAAAATTTCACAACATGCTGTGAAAAATTTACAAAAAATATAGCAAGCAAGACAAGCCATCAAAATCAACATATCAAAGAATGACAAAAATTGCATATGGGAACTGTACAACAAAATCAGTTAACACAAATGACAGGCAGGTCCCCCAAGAAATGTCAAAAATCAAGTAGAGAAGATTTCCTATTGTTATCCACAGCACAAGAGCTATGCTTCTTCTTCCACAGATGAGATTGCTAGAATGTTTTTATTTATTTTATTTTTTATTCTCATCAACAAAGCTTCTCAAACTTATTCGTAATTGTTTTTTTCAAAAACACGAGGACATGCCCAAGCAGAATGTATGTGTATGTATATGTCTATGTAATCATAAATCAAAACTGCGATGTCTGTCTGCTGAAACATTTCAGAATTCTCTTGCCCCTGATATAGAAACAAAAGGGCAAAGGTAAGTAAGAAATTTGTGGAGAAGTATGTTCAATATAATAGAAAGCACAGCATAGCATGTAATCAAAGATGCAAAAAACAAAATGGCGTGGGTTTCTCTTGCCCCCAAATCTCTCTGTTTCATGTCTCCCAAAATATTCATAACCACTATATCATTGAAAATATTGAGGTGTCATAATCTCGAGACATAATTCAATAGATGTGAATGTTTTGAGTTAGAGCGACAAGAAAATTTAGGGACAAAGGATCCCTTTGCGGAAGAAAACATGTCAAGCATTTCCTCATTAATGGTTCTTCTCAATCGTTGCATTAGTAGCGGCTTAGGAAACACGTCAACTACAAAATGAGTGTCGTGTTTGTACTAGACACCGACACCGCACAAATAGTAGTGTTCACATGTCAAACATTATCATGTGACATTTCAATTTTTTAAAAGACTGCTACAAAAATGAGCAAATAAGTAAACAAAAAAGAACGATTATTACTACAAAGATGAGCACGTATATCCCAAAAGGCACAAAATTAGTTGTGTAACTTGAGTGGGTCTTATCCGAACAACTGAGTCCAACTCATAAAAGTTTAAGATCTTGGACAGTATAAATTTAAATTCGATTTGAAATTGAGTTAAAACTTGTTGGCCCAAATTAAATTCGGACAAAACTTATATAACTGTTGTGAATAAAGCATGCATTTGGACATAACAAAGTGATTAACTTTTCATGTAAAATAGCTTCAATGTCAATGCCACAACAAACAATTGATTACTGAACCAAATAACATGAACAACTACATTAACATGTCTAAAAATCAAAAAAGAAGAATCTGACCTTTTGATGAAGATTCAATTACAACAACATGCATGGTGGCATTGTTGGGAGGAAGCTGCAAGCGAAGAGGGTAAAGCTTTCGGTTCAAAGGATTTCGAGAGCACACAATAATGTCATCAAGCCCAGTCTCTTCCTCTAGTTTCTGAATCAGCTCACCAACCGCATTTCCGCTAAATGTAATACAAAACTCCTCCAACCTGTCATCAACATTGCCATACTCGTCCGCAACTTGGTAATATATTATCCGACCATCCACCACCGCCGTAGGCCGTGGAGAAGATTCACTCCACTACAAGCACGCAAACAAACAAATTCAAAGTCTGAATCACAAAAGATGATGGTTTAATTTTTATCTTCTAAACTGTAGTCATTTTTTCTTTTCATTTTTAAACTAAAAATTCAAATACAAAAATGTTTCTCATTAAATCCTATGAAGTAAATAAATGAAATTAATAGTTTAAAAATTAAATACCACAATTCAACATGAGTTTTGAGTTAGAGATTGAAACCTCTTCTTGTCGTCCAAAACTGCGAGACTCAGTGGAGTAATAAGTAGCAGGCGAGTTCGAGTCAGAGTCCACGGCGAAAGAGTCTGAATATTGCAGTGATTGAATAGGGATCGAAGTGGGAGGATAAGTAGTAGGCGAGCTCGATTCAAAGTCCGCGGCAAATGAGTCTGAATGTTGCAGTGACTGAATCTGAACGGGAGGCTTGTGATGGGAAGATTGGACAAGTATTTCAACAATATGAACATCCCACAGAATCCAATCCTGTGTTGCAGACCGATGTGGTATGTCATGTGTAACGGTGTTTCGCCACGGTGGCATCCCACCATTGGCCCTGAGAAAGTTCCCATACCGAGTCTTGAGCTTCACACGGCTTCCTTCACTGATTGGTTCCCACTCGACCGAGGAGTCGAGGCGGGCACCAGAGGAAGGAAGGGTTTGGAGGACTTTGTGGCCCGTCATGCCGAGCAGGAAGGGGTGGTTGGATGCTGTCAGGTACTTTCCATAGCAGCTTTTAAGGCGGATAATGTTGTTGTTGTCGGAAGAGACGAATTCGACCGTCCAGCGGGCGCTCTTGGAGGAACCATTGCGGTCTTGGGTTACGGTCTCTTCGTCGTCTTCTGCATGGAGGAACTTGTTATGGATGCTCTGTAGCCGCACCGCCTTTGCGTTCGTGAACATATCCATTGTGCTGCTCTGAATACAAATTTTGCAATTCAATTTAAAAACAAAATAGAATCTGATGAAATTGAGATTGAAACAGAATTTTGGTTGGTTTTGAGTGCAAGTATTGTTGAGAGAACTAGTTAGAGAGACGTGCAAGTTAGAGTTTGAGACAAGGAAGGTCAAAATTGTTGGATTCTTATATAGATATTTTTATTATAAAGTAACAATAAGAATGGTTGACTGATTTTCAATGTTTTCGCAAAAGATATGACTGGTGAAGGAAGAGGAGAGGAGGTACAAAAAAAGATGATTGTGTTGAGTCAGCGCCACCACATTTGATAGGTTACTGGCATTTATGACACACGGTTTTAGCAGACCCAAAAAAGAAAAAAATTAGTGATCATGAAAAAATAGAGCAATGCTAGAGACCTTAAATATTCTATCAAAAATTTTATCAAATGTCTCACATGGGTGTGGGACCCACACAATGTGGGTCCCATGTGGGTCCTACACCCATATGAGACATTTGGTAAAACTTTTGGTAAAATTTTTGAAGCCTCTAGCATTTTTGAAAAATTTTATGAAAATGATCATGAAAGAATTATGATCTTTGAATTACCTTGATTAGTGTGTAGTATTTTATTCTAAGAGTAATCTAAGAGTCACAAAACTTTCATGATTATTTTCATGAAAAATTTTTCATGATACCTAACATTGCTGCCCAAAAAAATCACATTTTCCTTATTTGGTCCATTGATTAAAATATTATAATAATATTTTCCTTTTAGATGTGTGATCGAATACAACTAGGATAAATTAGAACAATCTATTAGCTTTTTGGCTAAAAATTGTGATGACAAAAAAAATTAAGATACGTTTAGAAAGAATTTTTTGATGTTTTACTAACAAACGTGTAAACAGATAGAGTGAATGAAACAAGAAATTGTTATTTTTTTTTTAGAGAATTTTTTATTAAAACAATCACTTGTCAAACTGTAATCTTTAAATTTTAAGAAAAATACAAAAATTCAATAAATTATGATATATTTACACTCTAATTTTTAAAATTTAATATCAAGTTTCATTTGGTAAAAATTAAAAAGTCAAGATTTTGATTGATCAAATGTTTATTAGTATTGGAGTTGCTTTAATACGAATAAAAAATAATGTTATGTTTCTTAATTAAATGTATATTTTATCCTTGATTATGCATTTGTCTATACAACACTACCAAAACAAAAAAAAAATGTAATTAAATTAAATTGGTAGAGTTTGTTGTAATTTATCTAAACAACTATAGTATTGTCAAAACCACTCACGGGCCTTTTTTGTCCAGAGATGAAGGCGGCGTAGTTTGGATAAACCTGGGTTTTTGACATTTGCAAACTTCGAGACAAACTTTAATTTGGGGACTTAAGCATGAACTAAAAAGATGCATGAATTCCACATGCATTTCATAGAAACCGCTATGAATAAATTAAAATTTCATGTTCAATGGTACGTCAAAAAAGGGCAACAAAATAATAATAATAATAATAATAATAATAATAATAATAATAAATGGTAGCATGGGCGAAGGAGCAGGAGGAAGTTTCGGTGGTTCTAATCCAAAAAATTTTGATTTTCATGAACATGCATGGATATGAAATTACCACAATCAAACTTATTGATTATGAATGAAAATTGAACCCATGGTTGCTTCTTCTTATTATTATTTTAATGGTGGTCTCTTCTCTGCCTATTAGAGCAATGCTAAAGGTAGTCTTGATTTGAGACTGAGGCCTCGTTTCGCAAGTGGCTTTTTAGTCAAAAAGTTAAAAATTCACTAAAAAAATTAAAAAGTCAACAACTCATACCAAAAAGTCAAAGATTCTATTTTCTCTCTACTTTTTGCATATTTTTTGGTAAAAAATCAAAAAGTCATCCCAAACATACTAATTTTTTTTACATCACATTTTAGTCAAAAAATTAAAAAATTACTAAAATAGCATGTTCCCAAACGAGGCCTGAATTTTTTTTTTAATGTCTTTTTAAAAGGTTGCCCCCTTGGACTAGGTTAGGTAGCCGTCTATGTTGGATCCAATGGCGGATGCAGGGGTGGATAGGGAGAGCCATCGCCCTGCATCCATCTGTATATGCTCAACTAGTATATTTATATTTGTTATTAGATTTTTAAGTTGTAAAAACTTAGCCGTTTCACCTAAGTCTTAACTTTGTCAATTTAATGCATAATATATATCATATATGTTAGTTATGAATTATTGTGATGTTCGGTTATAGGTCATTATGGTGATGGGACTAACAAATTATAAAATCAAAGTGGTATTCAATATGATTGATTGTGGTGGTTTTGGTTATGATCAAAATGACTTTCGATGATGACTTTAATTAGTATTAGTTACCACCTAATGTGATTATAATCAATGTGAAACGTACTCATATATATATATGGAGAGGCATTTCTCCAGTCCACTATGTAGACTTGAGCTTATTGTTGGACCCCACGGGTCCATCATAAGTCTCGTTTCAATGATTCAAATTATTCAATATGTACAGCTCGTCGAGTACTTCATGCTTGTAAAAAATCACGTTAATTGAATATCGGTAGCCCCTTTATTGGAGTACATTTTTGTCATTGATAAATATGATTTTAAAAATAAATTGTTAACAAAAATATATTGTGATTAAGGGGTCACCGATATCCGATCAACGTGATTTTTTGTAGGGATAAAGTACTCACGAACTCTACACATTGAACGATTTAGATCATCAAAACATAACTAGTGGTATGTCCCACAGGTCCAACAGTATGCTCGAATTTACACAATGGACCTGAGAGAAACCTCTCCTATATATATATATATATATTGATCTTATGTTTTGTATAAAGTATAAATGAAATTTATAATCCTATTTTGATGCTTCTTTTTTTTTTTTTTTTTTTCAATGTCTATTGAATGAAAATATTATTTGCAAATTTAAGAATGATGTTTAATTTGTATGGGAAAGAATATGGTACATACTCTTCAAAGGTTTGTATCATATGTACCTTATGATTAAAAGAAAAAAAAAATGACATGACTTCATATTTTCTGAGTCAAAAAAAAAAAAAAAAAGTAAAAAAAAAAAAAAAAAAAAGTCATAACCACATACCTCAGGAAAAATAACTAAAATCTCATGAGTCATAACTAAAATAATGTCATAATTAAAGAAAAAATTGATTATAATTAAAGAAAATATGGTATAATTAAGAGTACGAGCTGTGCCTTATACCCCCAGTGAGGTGGCGCGCCCCCACTGGCTGCCAACCAAAAAAAAAAATAGTTTTTTTCCGCCCAATCATGGGCCTCCACCTCACTGGGGGTCGACCCCTAGTGGGGGTATAAATCATTTTTCTTAAGAGTACATATGGTAGAGGGTGTGTTTATGATAGAATTCTCCAATTTGTATACCCATAAAAATGAATATTTTAGTACAATATACGTGCAAAACATTTCAAAAAATATGATAAAATAAATTTTATAGTCAATTTTTATTATATATTGGGCAAATTACATATACACCCCTCCAGGTTTGACAAAATTACAGATACCCCCCTGAGGTTTGAAAAATTACGAATTCCCCCCTGAATGCTATATTTGCATAAGAAATTAGGGGGTAATTTGTTATGAAATATAAACCTCAGGGGGTAAATTGTTATGAAAATACAAACCTCAGGGGGCGGGATGTAATTTCCGAAACCTCAGGGGGTATCTGTAATTTAACCAAACCTGGAGGGGTGTATATGTAATTTGCCTTTATATATTTGAACCCCTCTTGACATAATTTTTGCGTCTACCACTGATCGAACCTCAATTTCTATCTACTAATTTGAGCGTCAGAGTGCTTCCCGCCGACCATCAGCCGGGCACTAACAATGTTTTCCCTTGTAAATTTTGGACTCATGACAGCTTGGGTGTCTCTGGTCATCTTATCCGTAATTCTTATCCGTAATTCTTTTTCATCAAATTAAGAAGATATATTTTTTAATCGTTACAAGACCTGTACCAGATTCAATATTTATTTGATTATTTTAAGTACATGGTGGCTAGTGGTCTCCTAACCATTTTTAATGTTTTGAATATTCAGGGGCAATTACAGGCCAACAATAAATCAAAAATATTTACTGAAAGATGAGTGTAAATTTTTGTGTATTAAAAAATATATTTAAAAAAAAAAAAAAAAAAACTTGAGTCATAAAAGACTCTTACCATTTTTGTAAAAATATGCCCCATATCCATGAATAGTTATTCTCCCAATATTCAAACCCATTGTCTATTGGGATTTTTTTGTGAGCCAATTTGGGACTCATTATTCATACATAAAAATTTATTCAAAAAATATGGTGTGACCAAATTTCAATTCTTGTATAATAATTGTTTTAAATGAATCTAAATTACGCATTAATTTATTTATTTATTTATTTTGGGTGCTAATCGATATCATTGTTCTCTATGATTCAATTTGCTCGACAATGAGGAGGGGGCCACCCCTCTTGTGGAATACGGTAATATTACAGAGGTGTTCACGAATAAAATTGGTTTGATTTTGAATTGAGTCAATAATTAAACTAATTTTAACTATTCCAGAAATTTAGATATCAAATCAAACTGTTGAAATGTTTGAAATAGAATTGAAACTAATCACAGTTTATCTCCAAGGTTCTAGACAAGAAAATTCATTACTATACGGATCATGTAATTCATTTGGGCAAAATTCATATCACCTTTATGTGGCTTCACTTTTGCAGTTTATTCCGTTCAAAAAGAAAAAACTTTTACACTTTACCTTTCATGGTTCAAATATAGGCAGAGAGTCTTTATGGTTTTAAAATCAAGTACTCGAGTCAATTTTGACGCTAAAAGTAACAAAAAATATGCCACATTCTTCCAAATTGAGAGTGACAATAGAAAAATTACAAGTGAAAATAAAAAATTGAATCAAATATAAAAAAATATGTATGTATATGTTTTATTTAAAATGTTATTATATGTAAAAAATTAAAAGTCAGATTAAGACACTTTTATGATTTAATTTATGATAATAAGTTAGGATGTGTAGGTTACTTAATGATTTAGTTTGTTAAATGTATATATTTAATTTAAAATGTTATTAAATAAGAAATAGGGATGAAAATTAAAAATTAGATCAATGTAATTTTAGGGTAATAAATTAGGTGTTTAAATTAATTTATGGTTTAATTTATTAAATATATGAGTAAGATAATAAAAAATTATATGTATTAAAGATTAGAGAAAGAGAATATGACACAGGGGTATTTAAGTAATTTTATCTTTACCGTTAACAGAGTTAACTTTGCACTTCATTCGAAAATTGTAAAAGAATTCTTTATTTATATTTGAATCATAGGGGATAAAATGTTCTTAGACAAAATAATGGCAAAAGTGAATTTCGCCCAAAAAAATTATTTCTATGTAACTAGGTAAATATTTTAAAAAATTCACAAGCACACTTCAAAATTTCAAAACATTTTTCAACTCAGTTTTTATAAATGTAATTGTCAATAATAATAGAAATGTGAAAATTATATAAATAGAAAACGGTTTGGTTTGGTTTGGTTTGGTTTGGTTTTGTTCTATATGATTCTTTTGAATCTTAATCCATGGAGTAATCAGTGGTTCTTACTTTGATCAAACATAGACCTATGTGGTGTTTGATAAAACTGAAAAATAAAAACTAAGTATTGAATAATTTTTCAAATTGAAAAGCTATTTGATAAAAATTTAAGTGTAAAACTAAAATAAATTATTTTATATATATAAAATTAAATGTAAAATTTATTATTTTCAAATTGTATATTTCAATTTTTATATTGTGTTGGTGGTGGTGATGGTATGATGGTGATGTTGATAGTGATGGTAGCAATAGTGTTGATGGTGGCAGTGGTAACGGTAACGATGGTAATGATAGTAAAATGAGAGTGGTGACAATGAAAATAGTGATGAAGATGGTGATAATAGTGAGCAGCGGTGACAGTGGTGGTGGCAGTAGCATGGTGGTGGTGATGGTGGTGGTGGTGGTAGTGAGTTTATAATAGTGTATATCGATAATAATGTTTAATATTTATAAATTCAGTTAGATTTACGTAAATTTCATATAATTTTTTTTTTTTTTAAGTTTTAGCTTACATTTTAAGAGGTACTTAAATTTTTAAGTGATATCAATTATGGTTATCAAATGAATTTAATTGATTATCACTTAATATATTCAGTTTTAAGTGTTGGATTAGATTATGAAACACCCCCAACATTCCCTTAAAAAATCATTCCAAACCATTCAATTTCAACATTAGTTGAAAAAGTTATACCAATCTCAAGGGGTTGACATGGTGGTTAAGCACTCATATTAGAAACACAAAAGTTAAACACAGTGTCTCACATGAAGTGGGTCTCAAGGACCATGTTATGGGCCTCGCCCAATACAGCGAAAGGCCTACCGAGCGATAACCTTACCCTAATCTAGGTTCTGTCAAAATTGGCAACTGAAATGAAAGAACTTGCAAAAACATTCATGACTCAATTTTTACTCGTCAAATACCTTATCAAAGCCAATGGGAAATGGGAAGTTGCCTAACACTATCCATCTTTACAAAGTTGATCAATAATTGACACCTGTACCAGTATGTGTGGTTTAATTTTTGAGTTTTTTTTTTCAATGATCTTTTTATTAACATTTAGTCAAAAAAATTCCATTATAGATAATCATGATAAACCTAAAAACAAAAGTATTTATGAAGAAATCTATAAAAAAATTTATTTTTTATTTTTTCATGGTTAGTCAACTAAGGATTTATGAATAAATCTAAATAAAATTCACTAAGAAAATATGTGCCCTCTTTCTTTTTTTATTTTATTTTTTCATTGTTGGTCAACTAAGTATTTATGAATAAATCTACATAAAATTCACTAAAAAAAAGATGTGCCCTTTTTCATTTTTCTTTTTATTTCTTCATGATTAGTCAACTTTTTGACACAGTAACAATTAAAAAGTTAAGGTCAGATTGAATGTGAAATGTGAAATTTATCGAAAATTTAATGAAAACGAGTGAAGAAAAACTTACCTTCTGCATAGACAACCTAGGAGAATAGGTCCGATGAATTGATAACCTCGGCGAATTAGTCGAGTGGATTGACACCGGCGACCCAATTTCCGACAAAACATCATCAGAAACCGACGAAAAGCTCGAAAGCATCGACAAATAATCGTTCAACGGCTCATTTTCGGGGATCTCCACAACCTCAACGTCCCACAAAATCCACTTACTAGTCGAACTAGTATAAGGACTGTCATGGGTGATCGAGTTCCTCCACGGCGGTGACCCACCATTAGCCCGTAAATATGTTCCACCAAAAGCCCTCAGCTTGAGCTGATGAAACCCGTCTTTTTCGGGCTTCCAATCGATGAACATGTCGCGCATGTTCTCCGGTTGAGTCTGAAGTACTTTGTTTCCAGTCATGCCGAGGAGGAACGGTTGATTGGTCGCGGTGAGGTAGCGGCCGTGGCAACTTTTGAGTCGGAGGACTTGGGTGTTGTCGGGGACGAATTCAACTACCCATCGGGCTTTTCGTGAGGAGCCATTTTTGCTTTGTCGCACTTTTTCTTGATCGTCATCGGCGACTAGGTACTTGTTGTGGTGGCATCGGAGTTTAACTGCTTTGGCTTTGTTGAAAAACTCCATACCTAGTATTGATTAGTAGGAGGAGATTATAGAATAGATAAAAAAAAAAAAGGGGTGTTTGTCTGGTGGTGTTTGTTTTTCTCAACTCTATAGAGAGGAGAGAATTGTGAATTTTAGTGGAGAAACAAGTTTTTTGTAGTTTAATTTGTTGATATAATTTAAGTAGGTCCTCATGTTTGGTTACGGGTAAATGCATAGGTGGAAGATTGAACACGTCAAAGAAATTGTCCATGGGAGGACGGACCAAAGTCTAATTTGTTAAAGATTATACAATTTTTTTAGTCGGCAAAAGTCGTCCGCAGATGTATAATTTCTTGTGAAAATGAAACTTCCAGGTGGTATGCTTCTAAAACTAGGTTGAAAGGTAATGCTCACGCGTTGAAAGAGCGTGCAAAGTGCCAAACCTTGTCTTATTTGTTGTGAGGCCAAGGAATTGACATGCCTGGATTTTTTTATTTTTTTTTTTCAATAATTCGCTATCAAATTTGGACAATATTTTGCACCAACTCAAGTGGGCTATTATATTTGTTGTTATGGTAAAAGATAACAACTTTACTCGTTAAGAAGATTGTGGGAGATGAATTATATCATAAAATTAAATGAGATGAATAATTGGATAAGAATATGAATAATACAAGATTATAGGAGATAGGATTATACCATAAAATAATAGATGAGATAGATAATTAGATAGAATTAGTGAATATTATATTTAGTTATGATAAAATAAAAAGATATAATTGCTTTTCCATGAAGAAAAAAATAATGGGAAAAATTCTCATTTTTCTCATACAACACACTACTTATGATATTATTTAACCTTTTCATTTTGGATAAATTATATCGGTAATCTTTATATTTTGTCTGGTGTGTCATTTTTGTCTCTACACTTTTAATTGACTTAATTTTGACCATTAATTTTAAATTTTGTGTCAATTTGGTGTTTTTGATGAAAAATTATCACTGAATTGATTGAGTTTAACTAATTGAGTTAAGCAAACTTATAATTTTGTCCTTAAAATCATGACACACGTTACTTATGTGCGTATTTTTCTATTAAAAATGCATTGGACTAAATTGAGACAAAATTATAAATTTATGGTCAAAATCGAGTCAATTAAAATTATATGAACTAAAATGACACAACGATCAAAACACAGAGATTTGCCCCTCCATTTTTCACTCGGTGGTGCTACATGCACCAATTAGTATACACACTAGTATACCAACTAGTATTATGATATTATTATTGACTACATTTATCATACAAGTTACAAATATTCAAAACCATACAATGATGTCACATCATCTGTTAGTATACTAGTGTGTTCATTAATTAGTACATAAAGTATTATTCTTTTTCACTATTTAATTTTCGACATTAATACTAAAATTATTTAAAGTTTAGTACCATGCAAAACAAACACTAAATTAAATTATCTAATACCATATTAATGGAAAAGTATTCAATAATTCTGAAACATCGCGTGGATATATTTCAAATCAATCACTAATTACTTAGTCTCAAATTATTTCCATATCCTAACATAAATCGTGAATCTCTACCCATCTCTATCAATCATAACCTCATAAAATACGAAATAATCACCCCATATTAATAATCGGGTGGACCACGCATACCATCACATTATCTCCCTTTTAATATTTCAATGAGACGTGTTAGAGCACTGGACCCTTCTGTTCGGGTCCGTGAATTTTGTACGGATTTCTTCGTCAAATGATAGAAAGGTAAAAATATGAGAATATTCACATCATCAAAATAGGTTATTAATTTATAATAATTAAAAAGTCAATAAAATTTAACACAATTAATATATCAGTACATCAAGTCTAAGCCCAATAATCAAATAAATCATCACCACAATTTCATAATAGAAGAGAAAGACCATCACAAAGGATATCAAACTCCACTCCGTAAGAGTTCAATTCTAAATCTCACACCATAAAAGATATTACACAACCACTAGGCTAAATGCAAAAATTTTATTAATCTGTTGATCTTGTAGGCTCATGTGTTTAAATCATAAAAATTAGATTAATCTAATAATTATAAGTAAATGATTTCACATTTTCCATAAATTTAAAAAAAAAGGATATAAAAAAGTGGTGAGTAAAAAAATAATTGAAAAATGATGGAGGTACAAGTAATTTATGCATAAAATTATAAAAAATAAATCTTATACCTTCATCACTTAAACATTATTAGTTTTTACTTCTCACTTTTTAAAAATTTTCCACCAAAAATAGATGATTTATTTTTAAAATTTCACTTGTTTTTTTTTGTTGAAGACAAATATAATTAAATTATGCATATATAATTGTCAAATTAATATGATTTTTATTTTTATTTTTATAAATGACTTACACATTACGCCTTTAAGATTAATGGGCCGGATCTTAAAAGTAGAGCATGTGATGCCTACGGATTCTGATAAGAGACAAAGCCAGGCCATTGTCAAATTATTAAGGAAACTTATGAATAAGTTCAAAACTTATCTAATTCTAAAATAAAATATTTAAACCAATTAATTCTATACATTTTTAATTGTTATCAAAAAATCTTTTCCTTTTTTTTTTTTTTTAAATTTACAGATGTTGTTACATCCACTACCGTCAAACATCCGTCAGACGGTCACCGGAGACTTGCAGGAATGTTCAACATCACCGGGAAGTCGTCGGAGTATCGCTAGAAAGTCACCGAAAGTTCACTGGACTGTTATGAACTCCAATGGAAGTCATCAGAATGTCCAGAACGTTCGCTGGACGTTAAAAATATCATTGGAGATTCACTGGAATATCCAGAATATTGCCTGGAAAAAAAAAAGAATACCATACAATGATGTCACATCATCTGTTAGTATACTAGTGTGTTCATTAATTAGTACATAAAGTATTATTCTTTTTCACTATTTAATTTTCGACATTAATACTAAAATTATTTAAAGTTTAGTACCATGCAAAACAAACACTAAATTAAATTATCTAATACCATATTAATGGAAAAGTATTCAATAATTCTGAAACATCGCGTGGATATATTTCAAATCAATCACTAATTACTTAGTCTCAAATTATTTCCATATCCTAACATAAATCGTGAATCTCTACCCATCTCTATCAATCATAACCTCATAAAATACGAAATAATCACCCCATATTAATAATCGGGTGGACCACGCATACCATCACATTATCTCCCTTTTAATATTTCAATGAGACGTGTTAGAGCACTGGACCCTTCTGTTCGGGTCCGTGAATTTTGTACGGATTTTTTCATCAAATGTTAGAGAGGTAAAAATATGAGAATATTCACATCATCAAAATAAGTTATTAATTTATAATAATTAAAAAGTCAATAAAATTTAACACAATTAATATATCAATACATCAAGTCTAAGCCCAATAATCAAATAAATCATCACCACAATTCCATAATAGAAGAGAAAGATCATCACAAAGGATATCAAACTTCACTCCTTAAGAGTTCAATTCTAAATCTCACACCATAAAAGATATTACACAACCACTAGGCTAAATGCAAAAATTTTATTAATCTGTTGATCTTTTAGGCTCATGTGTTTAAATCATAAAAATTAGATTAATCTAATAATTATAAGTAAATGATTTCACATTTTCCATAAATTTAAAAAAAAAAAGGATATAAAAAAGTGGTGAGTAAAAAAATAATTTAAAAATTATGGAGGTACAAGTAATTTATGCATAAAATTATTAAAAATAAATCTTATACCTTCATCACTTAAACATTATTAGTTTTTACTTCTCACTTTTTAAAAATTTTCCACCAAAAATAGATGATTTATTTTTAAAATTTCACTTGTTTTTTTGTTGAAGACAAATATAATTAAATTATGCATATATAATTGTCAAATTAATATGATTTTTATTTTTATTTTTATTTTTATTTTTATAAATGACTTACACATTACGCCTTTAAGATTAATGGGCCGGATCTTAAAAATAGAGCATGTGATGCCTACGGATTCTGATAAGAGACAAAGCCAGGCCATTGTCAAATTATTAAGGAAACTTATCAATAAGTCCTCTATATAAAGTTCAAAACTTATCTAATTCTAAAATAAAATATTTAAACCAATTAATTCTATACATTTTTAATTGTTATCAAAAATCTTTTCTTTTCTTTTTTTTTAAATTTACAGATGTTGTTACATCCACTACCGTCAAACATCCGTCAGACAGTCATCGGAGACTACCGGAAAATCGTCGGAGTATCGCTAGAAAGTCGCCGAAAGTTCACTGGACTGTTATGAACTCCAATGGAAGTCATCGGAATGTCCAAAACGTTCACTGGACGTTAAAAATATCATTGGAGATTCACTGGAATATCCAGAATATTGCCTAGAAAAAAAAAAAGAATAAATAGAGAAATTAGAGCGAAAAAATATAGCAAAATATGTTAAATATTGATAAACTAAAAGAAAAAAAATATAATGACAAAAAACACCAGCAATGGGAAAAACATATATTATTTTTCAATTTTTGTAAGGTTTAAGCAAATAATCTCTAATATTGATCAAACTGAAAAACAAGTTTTGAAACTGTAAAATGTTACAGTTTCAGAGCAAAAATCTATTAAGTATTTATCCTTATTAATGAAACTGAAAAACATGTTATAAAACTGTAAAATTTTACAGTTCTAAAGAATGTTATGAAACTGCAAAATTTTACAGTTCTAAAGAATGTTATGAAATAATAAAATTTTGTAGTTTTAAACCATCATTTATTCCAACACCAAAAAAAATTGAAACTGCAAAATTTTATAATTTTCACCACCTGTAACTAATACTCGAAAACAACTTATTCAGAATTTGAAAATTTTTTCCATTAAAACAGAAAAATAGACTTGTGTAACAGAGAAAAGGTAAAAAAAAGTGAGAAATCCAAGAAACTAAAAGATATAGAAAGAATATTGTACTCCGACAACTATTTTTTGTTTAGATCTAGTCGGATCTCATGTAGATTTACTCATTAGATTTGAGTAGATCTACTCATCTTCTTCGCTGTCGGTGAGAATGATGTCACGAGTTGATGTCGATGGTTGGTGGTTGCCGGTGAACCCCAATCAATGGTGA